GCATCAGAAAATGGCCGTTACATTAATAATATCATAGAGAAAATCAGGATGTATTCAAAAAAATTTATTCTTTAAAACGAATATATTTTTCAAATTTGAATTGCCATAATTGATTGTATTACCAGTATAATTAATTATAATAGAGAAAATCATTTTTCCACATCATAATTAATTATGACAGTGAAAAATATCATGTTATGAATTTTATCACATTTGTGCTTTGGAGGCTTATGCATAATATTACTTCATCAACTTGTACCTCCATATCCAGTATTCTAAGACTCTATCTAGTCTTCAGGAATCATCTTGGGCTTGCTTGAATCATCATCTTTATCAAAAATATATATTGGGCATGTAGGGAAATGTATCACATTGTCACCTACGTCATAAATTCAGTTTGTCCTTAAATTTATCTTGAATGGTGTTGACTTGAATGTAGTTGACTTGAATCATCATCAAAATCATCTCTTGGGAATGCAGGAACATTTCCATCAATCTTTCCCTCATTGCTTTCAATTATTATAGTTTGAAGATATGTTACATTTTTATTGGGTTGTGAAATTTTAAATAGAGATATGGTGCCCTTGTCTTGCTACTTCTGAAATAGCAGCTTTTTACAAAAAATGAAAGCACGTGAAATCAATGGTGCGAGGCCCAAAACCGAAACCGGTTTAAACCCTAATTTGGGCCTAGTACAGGCCTTTGTTATTTACACACCTCTTATATCTTGGCTCTCCCCTTCTTTTTTAAAAATATTTTGAAATGATAAATATACCGTCTTTACCTGCCCACATCCTATTAAAATAAAATCAACAAATCACAAATAAAAAAGGTAGGATTCTTTGTCTATATATTTAAAATGTCTCCGACAAAAGGCAACATAGAAATTGACTCATCTATTTGATTATGGAGGAAAGTGAAATTTTTACGTGGCGACCCGTTATAGATAAAAAGTAACACAAATAGTGGAACATCTCAAATCATAAGTTATATCGGTTATTCATGAAAAATACTTTAGTCAACTTAATTTCGCAGAAAATTAGATGAAATAATCTCTTTAAAATTATAAGGATATCGAGAATATTTTTTAAAATAAAAAAGTTGAATAATTTATAATTAAAAAAAAATCTCTATCAGTCTTATTCTTTTTTTTTATATATGCTTCACTGTTAAAATCTCATATATATATATATATATATATATATATATATATATATATATTCAATATAATCTTTAACTTGAGAAATATGAGGTCAATATTTCAAGAATAATGTTTAATTCAATAATACGTATTCATAATTAAGAAATAAATTTATGCAGAGATTATTTAATAAGTATAATAATATTATATCCATTCTTTAAATAATTAATTTTAAACTCACATTCATAATCTTATTGTTTAATAATTTTAAATCGATCAATTTTGTGAAACAATAGAGGAACCACGAACGGTTTATGTTAGTAGCATATTGTCCCATCAACCTGGAACTATTAATGAGTGTGTTTGTTATTATTTTCCTATTTTCTATGATTCTTCCACCTCAAACCTAACTCCTTTTCCTTGTACTTAAGGTTTCTATGTACCAGGAAATCATGCTTTAACATGATTGCCCAAACTCGAATCATATCTTCTATGTCGAATGTAGAAAAGTTATATATATATATATATATATATATATATATATATATATATATATATATATATACGAGATCTTTTATGTGGCTCATATGAATGTTAGAGGAACCCCTATGCATGCACGCATTGAGCCCTTAAAAAATGAACACTAGTTTGTGTTTTTATAGCTTCCATTCACCGTTTGAAAGGTTGTTTTTCCAAAATCACGTTCTTTCCTACAATAAACAATCACTTTCATTGTACACATTCCATTTTGAGGTTGAGCATCAAAAAGACGACACACTTTACTATGTCTAATTTAATTTTATAAAATAAAAAAACTATATATTATATTTTGAAAATACTTATAAAAATATGTAAAATGTGTACACATACTTACCACATTACCAGAAGCCACAACCTTTTAGATTATTTTAAAGTATTAATTAAATATTAGATTATAAAGACCAAAAGTTGGAAATTCTCCATTTATCTCAGTCCCTGAATTCCTGATGGTACAAGAGATTGTGACCCTTAAGCTTTGTAAGGGATGTGCATTCACCAACATTAATAAAATCATTAGGGGGCTTCCTTATTCGATTAATGCAAATCTATCATCAATAAATTGTTTTTTTTGTAAATTTTTATACAAGGTATGAAGTTTCAGCTTTCAATAACATGGATAATTTGACAAACATATAAACAATAAATATTCAATTGAATTGTAGAAGACCAGCCTCTAAAGTTTGTTTGCCATGTTTACGTCTACTTCAATTTAATCTATATTTTAAATTCAATAATAATTTTTTTATCTTAGATTAAAAGATCAATGAATTAGTAGGTTATTTTTAACCTTATTAAAATAATAATAATAATAATAATATATCTATTTAAAAATAATTAATTAAAAAAATACAAATAAAAAATCAAAATATATTTTTAAAATTTAAGTTATATTAATTAAATTAATTTTTATTTAAAATATAAAAAATTAATATATAAATTACAAGATAAATGTAAAAATTTATTTCTTAATTTTTTTTAGTAATCTAATAATCTAAAATAATAATTTATCTTAATTATTATATCTTAAAAAAAATATTATGGACTTATTATTTTTAATTACGTTTAAAATAAGTATATTTTTTATTAAATTAATTTATAATATATATACATATATATATAATAAAATAATATTTTTTAATTATTATTTTATAAAATAAACTAATTTAAAAGATCATGCATGAACTAATATCACTTAAGTTTATTTTAGTTATAACCTAAATGCATTATTATATTAAAACTAGTCTAATTTAATTGAGATTATAAATTTTTGTTTATTTAATTTGACGTATTTCTCCGATCTTCTAAATACTAAACTTATTTTCACATGTAATTAATAATATAGAATTGCCTGATACTAATTTTATATATTTATGAAGTTTTTTATTAATGACAAATTTATATAAGATGACATTAAATTCTATAAACTATCATAAAGGATTGATGAAAGAAAACTCCCACTTAAAAGAAAATAAATTCAATTTTAAAAAAGAGTATTATTAGAGTTTAAATGTAAAGGCAAAGTCACATATAGGGTAAAACAAATAAGTTTTGATTGAATTTGATGTGAAATTCATTTGCGTGTCTTGTACATGATTCATTAATTTTTCTAATTTTTTCCTTTTTAATTTTCCAATATTAAATAAATTATATATTTAATATGATACATATTTTTATAAAATATCATTATTAAGAGATAAACTAAAAGTGTTTTCTTAATAAGAAGTACCACTGAATCTACCAATATAATAGTCATAAAAAGAAAATTTATATCTAAACACTAAAAAAATACTAAATAGCATCCAAATGCCGAGAAAAAAAATACAAAGATATACAAAAATAAAAAGAAAGATAAAGAGAATTGATAAAGAATTAAAAAATAAATGCAAATTATTTATTATTGTTATATATATATATATATATATATATATATATATATATATATTAAATAAATTTTTAAGATAGAAGAATGATTAGGTTAAGTATGAATAGAAGTTTTATCATTAAAAATAATAAAATTAAATATATAAGTGAAAAAGATTAACCAATCTATTATCTCAACGTTTTAATTAAAGGTGAAATTCTTAATTAATATGCTTGATTAAACCTCGCATGCATGTCTTAATCCTCTCAAACAATTATAACACTCTAATTACATTACTAATTTTTTTTTATAATAGTACAATTCTCATGGTGAATATATGGTATTAGTGGTTTAGAATAATACAAATTTGATTATAGAGTTCGTGAATGCTTGAATATAGTATATTAGGTTTATAATCTTTTATGTAGTAAAAATCAACTTTATTAAATTTTCAGCAGAATGGTATTTTAGATCTTTTATGTGGATTAAATAATTAATATATATAATTGATATAACAAATAGGATACGTTTTATATTGATTATATAATAAATGTAAAAAAATTATGTATCACATTATTGCAAAAACTAGTAACAATAATATTATACAAAATTAGTTCTAACTAGAGAAGAGAAAATAATAGTCTCTAAGAACATTTGCACAATCAAGATAATTTTCTTTTTTTGAAAGGACAAAAAAATATGCAGAATTAGGATCACTAATTCGAAAAACTATAACTTATTATGGTTTTACTACTACGGTTTTAAAGAGTAATTATGCAACACATAATTAGACTTATATAGATAATTAAACTACTATTAATGTCTCAAAAATAAATAAGAAAAAAATTATACCTATTCTAATAATTAAAATAAATTATTATTTTAGATGATTAAATTATAAAAAAATTATTTAAAAAATTGAATTATAAAGATGATTTCTTAATTTTAGTGATGAATCTTTCCTTCTATAAAATTATTAAAATATTTAATGATATTACTTGTATATTAAGTGGCTAATTAACTCTTATGTGAAAGAAAAAGAATCCAGAAATCTAACTTAACCATTTCCTCAGGTATACTTAAGTGATTCAAGCTTTTCGACGAGAATCCTTCGTTCATATGAAGAGTTGGTGATTGATATCATATCAGAGTTTTATATATGATTATATCAGAGTTTGTTTCTTAAGACAAAAAGAATAAGATATGTATTGTTTATGCTCCAAACCTAAAGGATTCTTATGTGAGGAACCGTTTAGCACTAGCCTCTATAGAGAGTTATAATAATAAACAGAATCCACTACTATCTATCTAATCTAAACTGAACCCTTTTTTATTCTTATTCTGCCATATCTATATAAATAATGCTCATGGAATGCTTCCACACTACTCTCATCAAGCTTACTACTTCCCATTTCTTACCACCTTGTTCATACTCATTCAGATTTTTCATTTCACAGCATGGCAAATGCAACACTGGCTCGAGTGTTCATACTTGTGCTAATCATCCTCTCCACCTTCTTCGTCACTTTGCAGGCTCGTAATCTCCATCACCATCACCATCCATTCATTCGTCAAGGTAATATTGCAGAGAGCCATCACAAATATTTAGGTTTGGACCTATCAAAGAAGCATATGCGTGTTCAAGATGATAATGGTGCTGATGATGTCCCTCACAAGGATGGAAATACACATAGACTCACACCAGAGGGACCAGATCCTCATCATAACTTTGCAGCACCACCAAATTAATTGAAGTAGCTTTGTTTTGGTGATTTCAGCTGTGCATGCCTCATATATACATCTATGTTTATCTTGGAATAGAAAATGCAGGAGGTTGTGTTATGAGGTGCATGGTTGAACTTCATATATCATCTTAATTTTCTTCCCTTATTAAAGCTTTGTGGTATTTTCAAATAAGCCCACTTGCTTTTGAAACCCAGTGTTCTTGAGCATGTGTAGGTGGAGTTTGGATCATTTTTGTTTGTGTTATTTGTCGGCATGTAGTGGTTTTTTCCTCCGTTTGTTTGTGCTGTATTTTGTTTTTCCTTTTCTACTGTTAGAGAGAGTAGAAGGTGGGTGAAGAGGTAAGTGTCAGGATTTGTAATGCCAAAATATTTATCACCTTTCTTTGTTATCTTTATGGCATCATATTTTGTTTTTAATATATATTTAAATGTGTTTGAATATTATTAAATAAACAACTCAAAAATAACACTACCTAATATTTCTATTTCTGATATCCCGTAATATTGTAATATTATTAATTAGGTAAAATATTTAGTTATTAATACTAACGTCTTTCAAAATAAATGATATATTAAATTATTAATATATATATATATATATATATATATATATATATATATATATATATATGATAAAAGTTGTTTATTGAAAAATGTAGAAAATAAATAATTATATTAAATAATATTTTTTAGAAGAATACTAAACAATATAACAGTTGTTTAAAATTTTTTATTAATTATTTTATCCGATAACCTAACAAAATAAATAAAATAATTTTTTTTATCGAAACTAAATAAATTATGAGTTACTTGAATATTAACATAATATAATTATATTTTATTTTGTTTAAGATAAAAAACAATTGATTATATTTTAATTCAAATAATATGTTAATTAATAAATCACATGAATTAAGTAAGATTTTTAAGGACTGAATTATTTATTCAATATATGGTGTAATTCAATTCTTTTATGTAAATAAAGTTATAATTTAAATTATTTAATTATAATAGCAATTAAGTTATATTTCTAGTAACTAGGTTCATTGCACTTTTTTAAAGAAATTAGACTCAACACTAAATCCCGAGCTAATTGTGCTTATCATTGATTTGAGTCAAGTTAAAAAATTTAAATTTTTTTAATAATAATTTAAAATAAATTTGACTCACTTAATTCGTGAGTTAAAAGGCTTCAGTTAGCAGTGGATTGATTTTTTTTTTATTTTTTTCTATCTATATTTAATATAAATTCACGAAAAAAATTCAATAAATTAATCTACCTATTTTAATAATTAAAAATAATAATTAAAAAGATATACAGATTGATCAAACATCTATCCGTAATAATCAAATCATATTATAAAATTTTTGACTAAAACAAAATAAATTGAATTAAATTTACCCATTTTTAATTATTACACTAATGTCAACTGGGCTATGATCCACAGCATAAGCCCAAAGAATACCCATCCAAAAGGCCCAAACAAACACCAAAGCACTCCACCCGCCACGCCGGCGCGTGTGGATCCATTCCGGTACTGGTCAAGACCAGTGCCCGGTCCGAACTGGCGAGTACTCATCACGCGCCACACCACCGCCTACGCACTCTTTTCCATTTTTCGCAAACGAAACCTCGAGCGACAAACTCCCGTCTCCCTCTCACTACCGCGTGACATCCACATCCCTGTCTCTCTCGCCCCTGATTGGTGCGTGAATTCCACGGGCCAAACCTCTTAGTGAGTCCGCGTTCCATAGTCGGTGCTAAAATGGTTCCCTGTGACGCACCACAGACGCGTCACCATCCACTCACCCGGTCATCGGTTCCCCGCACGCAGCCACCGTTGCCGTACACCTGTGACGCGATAAGAGGACATGGTTTCCCGTTTGCTTGCATAGAGAGAGATTCACACCGAGAGTTCTAGAGAGAGAAACTCCATCTCCAGAGATAGAAACTGCGAAATCTGATCGGAGCACCAAGGTAACGCAGCTCCAAACCCTACTCTCTGTGCCCTCTCGACCCTCGCTTCCGTCGACTCGTTTCTATTTTCGGAATTTTAGGGAAAAAATTATAGGCTGTTTCTTATTAGGTTATTTACCTCCCTGCCCGGTTCGTAAAACCCTTTGTTCGGATTCTAGGGTTCGGTCAAGGTTTGAGGGAAAAAAATCTTTTGCATGTATGGCTTCGGGGCCAATTGATGGAGATGATAGCGCCAAGGAGAAGCCGAGATACACCGAGAGAAAGGTTTACACTAGGAAAGCGCTTAAAGGTCCTAAGAACAAAGGTAACACCGCTGCAACTACTACCATCGGCGGCGACAACAGTCCGGGTATCGTTACCACCGTTGATCACAACAATAAGAATAACATTACTGTCGATTACGTCAACCCTAGGGCTAAGGATAATTGCAAAAACGCCTTGGTTCAGCCGGTGCTGGAGGATGGGGATTCAGCTCGGCCACACGTGATTTCGAGGTTGGATGTGGTTTCGGATGATTCGTCCAGCCTGAACCGTGCTCAGGATGAGCCTTCAAGTGTTGCCGGCATGCCACAGTGGTTGCCGGGGCCGGAGAGCTTTGTCAGGTTAAGTTTGGATTGGCGGTCTAAGCGGGAGTTAAGGAGGAGGCTTGAGAGTGAACTTGATATGGTTAGGAATTTGGTGAGTAGGATTGAAGAGAAGTTGGGGGTGTTTGGTGGGTATGGTAATTCAGATGTGATGGTGGATAGCGGAATTGGTAATGGGGGAGGAACTAAGCGTGCTCACTCGGAGGTTGTATCGGTTGTTGTTTCACCGCGAGAGCCTTCTCGGCCTTTGCATCAGTTGAGTGTGTCAGTGTTGGACAATAATCAAGGGGTTGGTGAAATCGTTGAGAAGGAGAAGAGGACGCCCAAGGCAAACCAGTTCTATCGCAATTCAGAGTTCTTACTTGCGAAAGATAAGTTTCCACCTGCAGTGAGTAACAAGAAGTCTAAATTGAATGGGAAGAAGCATGGTGCAGGTGAGATGGGACATGTACATGGAATGGGATCGAAACTTTTAAAGAGTTGTAGCTCGTTGCTTGAGAAGTTAATGAAGCACAAGCATGGTTGGGTGTTTAATGCTCCAGTTGATCCTGAGAGTCTTGGTTTGCACGACTATTTTGATATCATAACGCATCCAATGGACTTGGGTACTGTGAAGTCAAAGCTGAACAAGAATTTGTACAAATCCCCCAAGGAGTTTGCTGAGGATGTGAGACTTACATTTCGCAATGCAATGATTTATAATCCCAAAGGACAAGACGTTCATATAATGGCCGAGCAGCTGTCAGATGTATTTGAGGAGAGATGGGCTATAATAGAGTCAAATTACGATCAGGAAATGAGATATGACCTACATTATGGTGCCGCTGGCCCTGCACCTTCACCTCTATCTAGAAAGGCTCCTACATTTCGGACCCCGCCTATTGATATGAGACGGATTTTTGATAGGTCAGAATCAATGACACAACATCCAAAAATCATGAGCATCGCTCCTTCGTCTCGAACCGCTGCTCCCAAAAAGCCCAAGGCCAAAGATCCTCATAAAAGAGACATGACATATGAGGAAAAGCAAAAGCTAAGCACAAATCTTCAGAATCTACCTTCCGAGAAGCTAGATGCAATTGTACAGATCATTAAGAAGAGAAATTCAGCACTTTCCCAGCATGATGAAGAAATTGAAGTGGACATTGATAGTGTGGATGCGGAGACTCTCTGGGAGCTTGATAGATTTGTCACCAACTATAAGAAAAGTTTGAGCAAAAACAAGAGGAAGGTTGAACTTGCAATTCAAGCTAGAGCACAAGCTGAGCAGAATACCCTCCAGAAGGTAAATTTTCAATTTTAACTTTCATCAGCTTGTGCATTCATTGGCAAACAGTCATTGCTAAATGCATTTTATTTCATGCTTCTGTAGAGTTTGGCACCAGTTATGGTTGAGATTTCAAAAGAAGCACAAACAGGTAATTTTTAATGGTGGCTTGATTGTGGATCTCATTATTGGATTTATTGATGTATCTTGTTTGCCTTTTTATCGGCAGACGAAAGAATTTTTCCCCCATCCTTGCCTGTGCAAGGAGAAGTTCAAGTGGATGGGAGTAAGACAAGTAGTTCGAGCAGCTCCAGCAGTGATTCAGGCTCTTCATCAAGTGTTACTTTGATTAATTATTTAGTCAAGAGATATCTCCCATTATTCTTACTACTGCATGTTCACTTCTGCTTATCGTTTTAGTCAAGTGTTCTGTACGATTTTTATTTATTTTATTTTTGCAGATTCTGATACTGATAGTTCCTCAGCCTCTGGGTCTGATGCTGGGTCACATAGAACCTAAATTCATTCGGTCAGGTAGAAGCAGAACCTCCAAAATTTTATCATGATTGTTTAACTCATGACTCTTACTGGTTTACCATAATGTTGTTCCACTGCATTCATCTAGTGCTCCATGTTTGTTACTGGCTTTTACTGTTTACTTCTCCGTTCAAGCTGAATATGTTTGCAATTTGAAAATTTAACACGATCCTGGTACACGTATAATAAGTGAGTTTCAATATAAACTTGATGCAGTGGCAAGCGGTTGGTTCTGGATTGCGGCCTTCCTTTTTAGATTCTTTGCTTTTAGTGCAGCTTTAGCAGGAAATAGTTTATCCCATTTTTTACAAAATTTTACATTTTTTTATGTGCTCTTCATCTTTTGTTAGTTCTTAGTTTTTAAAATGTCTACTTTTTACTGGACTGCATACTCTTTAGAGGACTTGTTTGCATATGTTCCATGTCCTATTCTATTTACTTAGTTTAATGAGAGCATTTTTTATTAGCATAAGCTATAACCTATGTCTTGGAATTCCAGATGTCCTGAAGTTTAGTTTCTCCTTATAGGTAATTGTCTTAGTTGTTATGTCTGCTAAAAAGCTACTTTCTCTCTAAATCTCTTGTAGCTTAACTTTTTAAACCGGGACATTCGTCAATGCGTGTATGTGAATTTAAGAATCTTCATTCATGCTGACTGGGTTAGAACACTGTTGTCTGATGTAAATTTATTTAGTTTGTAGATTATAAAGATTAATAGAAGATTGCATTATGAATATACCTCTAGAGTTTAAACATAATATCTGGTTTCTGGAAAAGTAAATGTGAGTAGTGTGAGGAGTCGGATTTGCTTTCTTTCCTTGGAGTTCTCTCAAAGTTATTTGGTTTCTGGAACTGTTATGAATACGGAATTGAAAGTGTCCTGAGTAGTACAACATTGTTTTGTAAATTGATTTTATTACATTTTATTTTGGTTGTATAGAAATATACCTTTATTAGCATTACAGCCTCACATCCTGTTATATTGGATTTTATACTGTACGATTAGGGTTGGAAATGCTGGTTTTGTTAATACTCATTACTCTTTGCCTACTTACTGATGGATTGATGATTTGCTTCTATTTGCTTACTATATTACATCTCTAATGTACATTCTTGATGTGATCCATCACAAACGAGATGAACTGAATGCTTGTTGTGGAATTACATCTTTATCTTGTACTTATTTCTTGATCCCCCAAAAAGAAATAACAAATCTAATGAGCTTTACTTGTGAACATTGCTCCGCATGTCATTGCAGGACGAGTCTATAGTGTTACAATTTGTATATAATATCAATTCATGCATTAATTGTCTTCTATTTGCACAGCATAACGTACTTTTTTTAGAATAACGTAACATGCGAATTGAACTAATCAGGGTCAGTCATTGTTCCAATTGTTCAGACTGTCTGAGTATATTTATTGATTTTAGAAATTGTGAACTACTAACTTTTTATCCGTTGTTGTTTCATTTCCTGTGGGTGTGGAAGATCTCAAATATTTAAGATTTGGTAGTGCTGTGACGCTTGGCTAGTTCGTTTTTCCGGCTTCAAATTATGGATCTTAATTTAGCTGTTGGTTTGTAAAGGAAGCATTTTGAAGGCCAACTGTGATACTGGTGCAGTCTGAGATCCTTTACTCTCTCATCTGTTGGAACTGTTGCACCATTGCTATAAGGCCTTATTTGTGAAAACACGAACACATGTAAAATATTTGGTAGAATGTGATGATAGTTAGATAGTTCTCCGTAGCAGTGTACATTGCTGACTACTGTGATTCTCATTAAGCTCCATCGATGACTTGCTTTGATTTTGTGCTGGCAGATTAGGGATGCTTTCTGTTTATACAAGATAATCTGTAATTCAAGTCTTGGAAGTCATTATTGATTGGTTCACATGATAGATGTGAATGTATATATAGTGTGTATCGAAATGGTATTCAATTGTAATTACTCCTTCACATGAAGCGTTAGGTATTTTAACAAAGTTCTAGTTACACAAATTTTGTAAATTAAAAGATTTTTTTTTAATTTGTTTTATTCATAATAATAATAATAATAATAATTAAAGGTAATTTTCAAGTGTTTATCATCTAAAGACGATAATGTGAGGCATTTCCCAGTATCCTTGAAAATTATTTACATTTTTTCAGGGTTAAATGGGAAAGTGTATTTTTATCCTGTATTAAGTCAAATTTGGCAGTACCAATACGTCATTTTGTCAATGATAACATTGGAGAGGGGCAACAATCCCTACAATTAAAAGCGTTTACGACTATTTTCGTTGAAATTAAGATAACTTTTAATTGAAAGTAAAAGAATAACAAACACATTTCATATAATTAAATTAAAAACGTAGTCACAGCGTTCATAAATAAAATTTAAAATATTTTCTTTTATATCTGAATCTGCACTGCAAGAGGTTATACAGAACTGAGTTGAGTTATATAGTATTGGGCATTTTTTGAGATAAAGAAAGCTTGGAGGGAGAAATATGAGCACAATCATATGAATTAGCAAGCATTGTATAGAACAGGCAGCGAGGAAACGCAAGTGATGCAGCTTCTGAAACTGGAAGCAACGTTGGTATCACTCTCGGCCTCGCATTTCAAGCCCAGACGCTTCTCCTCCTCCTCTTCTTCTTATTCTTCTTCTTCTTCATGTTGTGTCAAGGTTTCGCCTTGGCGTGGTCTGGATGAATGGAGGGAGAGTCCTCTGAACGAGAATCGCAAGTGGGGAGAGAATGGTCCAGAGCCCCAACCCCTATTCCGCGACTCCATTCCATTGGGGCAAGCTTCTTCCTTGGCTGAACTTGGTTCTATCGTTCTTTCCACCAGCGACCCTCTTGCCAAGTCCCACCTTTCTCACACGGCTTACTCCATGTGGCGCTGCCACAACCTCCCCCTTGGCATTTCCAAACCCCCCTCTCGTCCCGCCCGACCACCAAACCCCCTACTGGTTCCCTTCTCTCTATCACTTGTTTATTTCTATTTGCCTTTCTTTTCTAATATATTGCAAATTATATCATTTAAAGCTATTTACCCCCAAGGCTCTGATTTCACTCTCTTCTGTATCCTTAAAACTATAGTAAAGAGTATGCAATTATTCTAGGCAAAACATAGTTTGAGGTGGACTATTATTTTCTTCTGACATTCTCACGTGAGTTGGGAAAATTGTGTATTTTGTGATGTGTTTATGGGGAAAATAGTATATTTTGATATGATATGGTAAGGGTAAGGAAAACTATTTAATTAGTTTTTATTATGACCACTTGTAGTTTTTGTTTGTCATGTAAATTGTGAGCACCATGTACTGATATGCTTATGTATTACTGACAAATGATAATGTCTCCGTACAAATATTGTGCATATATGTAAAAAAAATGTTTTTCTATATTCTTTTAGTGTAACATGATTTTTTAAGAATTTCCCATATCCTCCATTTTGTATTACCGTAGCATTCACAGTTTTTTTTTAATTTAATAATAATGACAAGTTGATTCTTGAAAGTTTAATTTTCTTCATGGATTTCGCTTTGTCTTGTGTGCATAATGAAGTTGTTTTCTTTTTCTTTAGGTTTCTCCTAAGGAAATTCCTGCTCCCAAGGACTCAGGTTTGCCCCTGAATGCTTATATGCTTCATAATCTAGCACATGTAGAGCTCAATGCAATTGATTTGGCGTGGGATACCGTTGTCCGGTTTTCTCCCTATAGTGAAATTTTAGGGGAGGGGTTCTTTGCTGACTTTGCTCATGTTGCTGACGATGAAAGTCGCCACTTCTCTTGGTGTGCACAGAGGCTTGCTGAGCTGGGTTTTAAGTAAGGTTATTTGTCTCTTAAATTTGTTTTCAGTTCCAGTTAATTTAATTATGCTGATCTTCTGAATCTTCTTCCAACCAGATATGGTGATATGCCAGCCCACAATTTGCTATGGAGGGAATGTGAGAAATCAGCAGACAATGTTGCTGCACGTTTGGCTGTGATCCCACTAGTCCAGGTTACCCCACCTTCAATTTTTCTCTGAAATGGTTGTTACCATCTGGTGAAAACTGCTCAATAAATATGATAATGTTGCTAGTTTCATGGGATTGTATTCCTTTTTCAAGCGTATGTGCATCAATTGTGGGATATGTGATAAGTAGAATGACTCCTGCTGATATTGTAATGACAATCATTTTATGCCTTGAAAGCTGCTGGTTTGGTTAGACTTCATTGTCTATGTGAATTATCATTTTCATTTTTATATGTGGGTATAAATGATGTATAGTGCTACTCAATTATGGGCTTCTGACATAATTTTCTGGATTCTGGAGTACTTCATGAAGATTTATGGAGGAGTCCTTTCTATACAGCCTAATTAGGGCTCATCATACAATAACATTTTTTGTTAAAGTTGATGATTGGCATCAGTCCACAACCATTTTTTGCATAAATAATTTTGCCCATTGGCTTATATTTTTCACTGGCTGTTACCTCTTCCAGAAGGGGGGCAGGTTCTTTTGGAAAATTCCGGGAAATGCTTCCCCTCATTAATCGCATGCTCTACAGAGATACATTAGCTTTGAATCATGAGAGTTGTTCTAAATGTATTATTTATTTCTCCTGTAGGAGGCTAGAGGACTTGATGCTGGGCCACGCCTGGTGAAAAAATTGGTTGGCTTTGGAGATAACAGGACATCTAAGATTGTGGCAAGAATTGCTGATGAGGAAGTTGCACATGTAGCAGTTGGTGTCTACTGGTTTGCTTCTGTCTGTCAAAAGATGAATTGTGCTCCACTCCACTTTTAGAGGTTGTGAAGCCTGGTTAATGTCTACTTATCTGCTCAAATGCAAACATATTGAAGACATACAATCTTCAACACTAATATTTTTCGTAATCATACAGACTTACTAAAGGAATACAACGTGGAACTAAAGGGCCCCTTCAATTATTCAGCTCGAGATGAAGCTGGCATTCCCCGTGAGTGGTAAGAAATTCCACATCTCCGGTACCGGTCTAATTCACCTCGCAACAAAGGGCACACTTATCTTACAATAATGACAGGATTCCCTCGTATTTAGTACTTCTATGATATACATTTTGTTTGCCTCATTCTCCTGTCCAGGTATGATGATGCATCCTCTATGAGCAATCAGGACAAGAAAGACGAACATGGCAACAAAAAACAGCTCTCTGCAGTAAGTGGCACTAACAATCATCCTACTTATTCCAGTAATTTAATTTTTCACATGATTATTTAAAAAAAAAAAGACTTAATTATATATGACAAGTTGTCATTAGATGGCTATATAATGTTTTTTACTTTCACTGCATACTCTATATAACACTTCTTGCATTTAGCTGTTCTTCTGGCTTGATATAGATATGCATGGATGTGTTGATGCAGGTTTACGAGAGGCTGGCTTCCATCATTGCTATGGAAAAAGAAAATTCAAGTTTGACCAAACCGCCTGAATGATCTTGACACCATATAATGAAAATTTTCTATGTTTAACTGGGAAAGGTATACACTGATATTGCAAGTTTGGAGCTTATCTCCACTGCCACCAAGCACAACTACAGTATTATTATCATATATACTTTGAAGTGATAAGGTTTCATAGACACGTTTGGTGATGCAATTCATTCCATTGGCAACTTTGTTTGACTGCAATACAAAGTGGTAATGCAAATTCTGAACTTCAGTACACGCGTCCAGTATTGATGAGAAGGGTAAGCAAATAGAGAAAATACAAAAATATGTTCTTTATTTGGTGTACATAGACTCTGATGTAAATAGCATAAATTTCAACGTGTATGGTCGATCATTAGAGACTTAGCGTGATGCCGAAGTTGAATGAAGTCAATGGTCATTGGTTAGCTTCTTCGATAGCGTACCGTGTATTGTATGATATCAAGGGGCCATGAACTTAGTTTTAAAGAGAGGTTAATACACCAAATATTTAAGTAAAATAAAAAGGAATGAGACACAAATTACACAATGTAATTAATTAATAAGGAATGGAACAAATCCAGGTTGTAAAGTATAATTTACTATCATCTATTTGTCTTTAAAAATATTAAAATTCAAAAAATGTTAAAATATAATTTGTTTCTAACTTTAACTTTGTTGTTTGAAAACATTTGATAAAATTAATGTTGGTGTATATGATTTTTTCTTGTCTTTTTAAAGTTAATAATATCCTATAATCACCGAATGTATTTTTTATTTTTAATTATGTTCACAAATATTTTCAGAGACTAAAAAATAATAAATAATTAAGTTTGAGAATAAGTATTTTTCATAGACACTCATTAGTTAATTTCAACTTAGATTTTCCAACAAGATTTATAGTGAGTTTGTTTGTCCGTTGTATGGACACATGTTCTTCAATAGGTTTTCAACGAAAAAACAAACGCACAAGTGAATAAACAAATTAGTCTTTTTTTTTTGTATTTTAATACTTTTCATTTTTTAAAGCTAAAATGATAATTATTGCATTTCAGTGGAAAAAATTCCTGTAAAACTTACACAAATTCTGAAAAGTGGTTATTCTTTTTCTTAATCTATAAGAAATAATTAAACCCATATTAGAAATTTCTAATAATTCACAAGTTCTCATAAACTGAACTAGATTATCTTAATCTATAAACAAATTTTTTATTTAACAAATCCCTTATAAATAAGATATTCCGGGAAAATGTTCGTTTCCTTTCCTGGAAAACTTGCTGTTCCTAGTAATACTAATAGTGAATAACAAACCTAGCATTTTAGTTAGGCTTTAACTTGAAGCATGCGCGTGCGTCTCTCTTCCCTTAATAAAAGGATAAGCCTTTCACCTAGTAGTTCTTCTTCTTCTTCTTCTTCTTTCCCAGACAAAAGAGAAAAAGAAAATACACGCAACACAAAATTAATATGTGCAACTCAAATGGTGATTGCAGACCCTTGGGTTTTCTCTTGGGTCTCCCCTTCGCTTTTCTTGCCCTCCTCGTTTCAATCGTTGGCATCGTCGTCTGGATCGTTGGGTAAGAACAACACACCCTTTGCCATCATTCATTTTCTTCTTCAAAATATCAAATTCAATTTTAATTACTCACTTAATCTTTATTTTCGCATAATTTGTTAGTTTTTATCTCTACACTTTCTCTTTTTAATTTATAAAGATTAAAATAAATACTTAAAAAAAAATTAAACTAAAAAACAAAGATTAAAAAATACAGAGATTGAATGACCTAGAATTATTTACCATGTACTCTGAATTAGATTTTGTGAATTGGGGTTTGTTTGATTTCTGATTCTGTAACATGGGTTTTGGCTTGATTGAGTGCAAAATTCATAAAGGTTTAAACTTTGGTTCACAATATTGGCAGGTTGTTGTTGACATGCATATGCCCCTGCTGCTTGTGTATAACAGTAATAGTAGAGTGTGCATTGGAATTGATAAAGGCTCCACTGCATGTCATGGAGTGGTGCACCTCTCAGATCCCTTGTTAGCTTCTGCTTTCACCAATTCTATTATCAAGCTCTAGTCATGTCTCTGCTTTGCTTATTTTTCATTTTATTTGCCTTTTGGTGAGATTGGGTAATCAACATGTAATATTGGTATTTTGCATTTCTGCTTTCTTGCAAAATTAATAGTTCATACTTCATAGTAATAATGATATTGTTTCTTGTTCATGTATCTATAGTTCTGTAATAAACAATACTTAATTTGAGTTTCACTCTTCTTTTACATTTAAATTGCATATTGTCTCTATGTACATACTTAAAAAGTATAAATACAGGTAGGGTGTGTCCTTCATCCACAGTTGTGATCATGAACTTGCAGAAATTGTTGTCTTGGCTCATTTTGATCATTGATGGACTAATCAATGATGTGAAAGATTGGCTTATGTTTTCTTTTCTTCAGTTCTGTTTTATCCATCATCAAAGTTGTCATTATCAGCTATAATGTGTTTGTGACCTCTGTTTTGATCCTTTTAGAATGAGGATTTCTTAAATGAGTGTCACACATTCACTCTTTTTTTATGTAATCCACACTGAACTCAAAGCTATTATTATTTAATAAATTTCAAATTAAATTCATCATTACAGGATTCAGATTATTTTAAAGTGTCTGCTTCATTTAAAACTTCATTTTTCCCTTTTCCAAAATATGCTATGAATTAAACAGAGAAACTCCACCTTAAGTAAAAGCTATATAATTTTTAGCTTCAATCAATACATGTGAATTTCTTAAGGACTTTAAGCATTCAATAATTTTGTTCATCCACAATTAGGGAAGAATTACAATGGCTTGGCTTGGTACATATAGCCTTTGTTCAGTTATGGTATTGTATGAAAGGAAGGTGAATTAGTAAAAAAAGTTTGTGTTTGGATATGTGAAAGTATGGTGGGATTCACAATTCATGGATAACATCTTGAGATAGTCGGAAATGTTTGGAGGGTGTGCCTTGATTCATTTTACTGCTTCACTGTGGAGTTTTGTTTAATTGGGATGCACTATGTCTGTGAAAGTGAAGAATATGGTGAATTAGTACAATTGAAACAACCATAATAGTTGCATTATGGCATAATATATTTTGTTCTTCTACATAATTATCATATCATATCACATAGGTTATATATACATATATATATACATATATATATATATATATATATATATATATATATATATATATATATATATATATATATATATATATATATATTAAGGCATTAAACTATTTTAAGGGAAGTTGAAGTAAAACACCGAATAGAAGGAGGATATCATTTTTCATCTCAATTACATGATTAATTATGGGTCTTTTATTTTAAAAAGATAATAATTCTCGTGATTTCAAATTATTTGTCAGTTTTAATTTCTAATATTTATTCTTGATAGTGCTAAATCAACAATTTTAATAGTATTTTTATTGATTAAACTACTAAATAATAAATAAATATTTAAAATTATATTTTATCCTATAAGTCAATTAGTTTTTGTCAATAAATAAACATATTAAACATAATATTTTGTTCTTTAAGAAAATAAAAATTGTTTTTTTTTCAATTATAATTTATAGAGTATCAATGAACATAATTGTCCAAGATTTAGAAATATTTTTTCTATTTATCATATATTTTGGATATCTCTAATGATTTATCTATTATCTCATACATCTCAAATAATCTGATAATCTGAGTTATTTGAACATTTATGTTATACTCAAATTTCAGGATCAGTGTGTATAAAAAAAATAAATTTAATTATCATTAGGGTTTTATTTAAATTTACTCGAAGATGAAAAAAAATACATAAATCGAAATAAATCACGGAGACTTTTGCTTAAAATACAATTTATGCAAATACTATTGAAGTTGTTTAACAATTCAATTTTATTTTTAAAGACAGTTTTAGTAAACAATAATATTAAAAACAAAATAAAAAACTATAAATATAAGAAACTAGAAATATGTAATGTAAGTTTTTATAAAAAGAACAATTATAAAATAAAACTTAATTCAACCCTTAATTTTTAAACTTGTATTTTCATCTTATCATTTAGACTAAATTTGATTCGATTAACTATTAGGCGTTGTGCTCACATGTAATTTGCAACATGGTTTCATATGATATAATCTCGACGAATTGACAAATTGTTATGGTTGAATGTTATCTTTGTATTAGGACTTTTATTCATGTTTTCAATTTGTGTAGCATCCCACATTTGAAATAATTCATCATTCACATTCAAATATATGTTATTACTATGAGTTGTTGCTGAGAAGACTTATAATACATAAAACTATCAGTAATGTTTCATGAAAAACTCAATTTCGTTCTTTTGAAATTGGCTTTTCAAAATAAGGAACTTGTAACTAGTTTGGTATGCATTTTCTAATGGAGTCACTTTGCTTATGGGTTGACATGAATTGACTATTTTATTATTTCAAAGCAAACTACTTTATTATATCTCTCAAAAGTTTAGGTTGATGTTTTATCTCAAATCATAACTAAGATTAACCACATTTGAAAATAATTTAATTCTATTAACCGAAACAAACCTAATTAAGACTTTTATTAGACTATGTTAAGGATGACAAAACGAGTCAGGTCTGGCGGGTCGGCTGCCAACCCACCATAATATGGCGTGGCGGATTAGTACTTTCAACCCGTCAACCCATTTTGGCCCGTTCCGCCTACCCGCCGGACCAACCTGCGGGGTGGGGCGGACTTGCCCGCGGTCTGCTTTATTAATAATTATTTTTTTTATTGTGATACAATACAAAGAGTCAAAAAGGTAATATATAATATAAAGAGAATTCTAAAAGTCTTAGTGTCTCATAAAGAAAATTCATAAAGTCTCAGTATCTCACTACTAAGAGAATTTCAAAAAGTTTTATAATTACTTAAACTCACATTACCAGAAACACTTTCCTTTCTCAAGCATACACCCCTCTCTCTCCTCTTCTCTTACTCATCATCTCTTTTTTGTTCATCCTTCTTCATAAGGTAAAATATATATATATATATATATATATATATATATATATATATATATATATCTCATATTTTTTTATTCTCTTTTATATTTGTTACTTTCTTAAGGTTTTATTTTTTTCTCTTAGTATTTTTTTCTCTCACGACTCATTTATTATGTTTTTCTATTTGTGCTTTTGTTGAAATCTCCGAGTAAGAAAAAATTATGAAGTTTTTTTTTTTAATTTTAAACAAGAAATGGATGGTTCAATTAGTAAATCTACTTGTGGTCTTGATGATATCATCAATGAAAATGAAATTGAGAATGAGATTAAGTTTCAACATATTGAAAATAAAAATGAATTTGAAAATGTTAAGTCGGACATCAAGAAGGATAAATATAATACATTTGATTGTTGAAAGTTTTTTTACTAGGATTGGTGTGTGTAAGGATGGAAAAGAAAGAGTTGTGTGTAATGGTTGTAATACAAAATACGTAATTGGTGGAAAAAAAATATGGAACTTCTCACTTAAAGCATCATATTGAACAATGTGACAAGATTAAAATGGAAGATGTGGGTCAAATGATTTTAGACATGTAAGAGAAGTTGAAGTGAAAAAAAAAAGATCAGATGTTGTCCTGTGAGTTATGTGCTAATTTAGTTATTCGACATGGTTTACCTTTTAAATTTGTTGAGTATGCACAACTTAAGACTTGGATAAATTATTTGAATCATGATGCAATGTTAGTTTCTAGGAATACTGCTAAGAGCGATGTATTGAGAATATTTATGAAAAAAAAGAATATAGTTAAAAGAACATTGACTACCATTTGTAGTAGGATTTGTTTAACTTCTGATTTATGGATATCTTGTACTACTGAAGGTTATATAAGTTTGACAACTCATTATATTGATTGAAATTGGAAGTTAAGTAGCAAGATTCTTAACTTTTTCCATTTACCTCCACCTCATAATGGATTTGAGTTGTCTAAGAAGATAAATGAATTTTTGTATGATTGGGGAATAGAGAAAAAGATTTTTTCTATTACTTTGGATAATGCTTCTAGTAATGATCTTTTGCAAAAGACATTAAAAAGTCAACTTGTTTTGCAACATTGGTTGATATGTGATGGTGAATTCCTTCACGTGCATTATTGTTCACACATTTTAAATTTGATTGTTCAAGAAGGATTGAAGGTACTTGGTAATGCATTGGATCAAATCAGGGAGAGCATCAAATATGTTAAGGGTTCAGAGAGTGAATGATTAAATTCAAACAATGTCTTCAAAATTTTGGTAACATTGATATTTTAAGTGGGTTGTGCTTATATTTTCCTACAAGGTGGAATTCAACTTATTTGATGCTTCAAAGTGCTTTTAAATATCAACGTGTTTTTGGAAGCTTACAACTAATGGATGAAAATTATAATTATTGTCCTTCTGAAGAAGAATGGAAAATAACAAAAAAGATTAGTATTTTCTTGTTGTCATTTTATGATATAACTACTTTAATTTCAACTACAAGTTATCCTACTTCCAATATGTATTTTTTACAAGTTTGTAAAATTCAGTGCCTTCCAATGGAAAGTGCAAAATATGGAGATCAAGTTGTAAGGGACATGACTGAAAAAATGAGGATGAAATTTGATAAATATCGGGATGAATATAGTGTTGTACTTGCATTTGGTGTAATTTTAGACCCAAGGATGAAGTTGGAAACATTAAGATTCTGTTATGAAAAAATTGATCCACTTACTTGTGAAGTAAAATTGGAGAAAATAAAGAAAAAATTGTACATATTTTTCTCTCAATATTATAACAAAATTACAACTTCAAATGTTCTGAAGCACAAACATGTTGATATTTCATCCTCAAAATCAAGCCTCTTTGATGTAAGTTAATTACTCTAAGTCAATTATTTTTTATAAATTTTCAATTAATATTTTTAACTTCTTTATTTATTTATCATATTAGGAATTAAAAAAGCACAAGCTTCAAGCTACATCTAGAATTGAAAGAAATCAACTTGATGTATATTTATTTATTAAATCTAGAATTACTG